TATTCAATTATTTGTGAAGGCTTCATGAATTAAAGATTTGTGTTTTATATTTTTCCGGGGTTCAAGAAAACTTCAACAGTTAAAACTTTAAAAAAAATCATTTTTATATATTACATATTGGTGTCATATGAAAGATCATTAAAATTTATGAATTTTGATATACTTTTTGAAAAATTTGGATAAAAAATAAAAAAGTTATACAAGTTTAAAATTTTTGGGATATTATGATGCAGGGATGACATCAGCATGACATCATCTGCACCAGAAAAGCATCGTGCATTCGTGCATTCTCTTTTCTCTTCTTTTTCTTTCCTTTTCTTTTACCCAACCCTCTATATTTAGAGCCCGTTTGGTAGCACAAAAATCGGCTGTTTTGGCTGTTTCTGCTGAAATTTATGAAGTTCTGGCTGAAATGGCTGTTTTGGCTGATTCTGCTGATTCTAGAAAAAAATATTTTAAAAATATATTTTGTTAATAAAATAAAGAAAAAATTACATGTAAAAATAGCTAAAATGGTCATCTACAGTAACTTCAGCCAATACAGCCAGAAAAGTAACTTCAACCTTACTTTTTCTGCTTATTACACAATTCAGCACGCGAAAGTAAAAATTACGTGTTTGGTGAAAAAGCTGGCTGATAAGCCGAAAAAAGGGGTCTCCAAACGAGCTCTTAATACCTTCCATCACCTCTTCCATTTTTAATACCCCTTTTAAACTACCACTACACACAATTAGGAGTCCAAAAATTCTACATTTAGCATTTTGGACTCCTAATACCTCACCACTCCAAATGGTCTAACCGGCTTTATTTTTGCATTTAAGGCTGATAAGCACTTTGAAAGATGTATAAATCCATTTAAAAGCTATCAAAGAGTTTGGAAGGGTTGCGAAGTTTTAAAAATGTATAAAAATAAAAAAAAATAAAAAAAATGGGACTAGACTGAAACCAGAGGTCTCGATTCCCACGATTGGATCGGAATCAGACCGGGTCCAACCTTAGGTGGGGCGTACGATACGCTTGCCTGCTGTTTTAGCAAAATTGACACATTGGAATTATAAATGTGCTTCGCAAATTTGACGCATTAAAATCACAAGTGTGCTCACTCGTGTTGGAATTCTTTACGAACTTTCGTGTCTATAATGTGAACTATGAACCAATACATTATTGAATTATGTGAATTCTTCTTGAATATAAAGTTGGGGAAAAGGTGCACATAGGCCCATGTACTAATCAAAAAAAGTCAAATAAGCCCATATTTAGGAAGTTTTGTCCGGCCGTCGTCATTTGGGGTGGTTCCCGGTGGATTTTTTTGATGAACTTTTTTGAGCATCTTATTCATCAAGTCTAGTTTTCTCATAGCAAATTTCAGCTAAAACTTCAATCGGGAAGGCATTCAAATGAATTCTTGAAGATAACTGCGCTTCTAACTGCGCAGTTATTTTCAAGAATTCATTTGAATGCCTTCCCGATTGAAGTTTTAGCTGAAATTTGGTATGAATAAACTAGACTTAATGAATAAGATGCTCAAAAAAATTTATCAAAAAATTCCACCGGAAACCACTCCAAATGGCGACGGCTGGACAAAGCCTCTTAAATAAGGGCTTATTTGACCTTTTTTGGTTAGTACATGGGCCTACTTGCACCTTTTCCCTATAAAGTTGCTATAAACACGTATAATGGTTTATCTATTACGGAGTAAATGTGTGTTACAAACTTGCAATAAAAGTTCGATTCATTTTGAATTAAAGTCCCGTTAATTGCTCGATTAGTTTGTTAAGGCTCGTATTCTTCCTTTTATTATTACTGAACTCTTCTGTTTAAATCTTTTTTTTTTTTGGTAAAACTTCTGATTAAATCTTTATAGGTACTCAATAAGTATATGAATTTTAGCTTGGACAAATACAGTATGCATGTTCTTTCTGAATTCGTGTATTTCAATAGAGACAAGCATAGTTAGAGCTTTGATAGTTCTCCCTTAGAATGATTAATTAGTTGTCGACAATTCGATATTTTGTGTTAGTTTCTAAACCCCTATTCAAAAATGACCTTTTCTTCGTATTGCTCCCTTAAAATGATCAATTAGGTGTTTATATTTCTTGTTAGTTTTCTAAACCTCTTTTCAACAAATTGCCTTTTCTTTAGATTGCTTACTGACAGAGCGAATTTCTACATTCAATTGTCAATTTGTCATCTTCTTCTTAGTTGCTGTACCGTGGGAGCGGTGCAGGGTGAGCATTTTAATGTAAATAATGTGAATTTACATGTAATTTCAAGTTTATCAATATGTAAATTACACTCATTCAAATGTAACTCATTGAAATGTAAATTATTTTGATTCAAATGTAACTTAGGAACAAGTCAGATGTAATTTGTGAATGTAACTTTAGCCTTTTCAAATGTAACTTGGGAACAAGGAGATGTAACTTGTGAATTCAACATCCAGGAGAATGGAAAAATTCAGATTAATCTGAATTGGAATAATACGCAGACCAGCTAAATCAAATTAAAAGAATTTGCTTTCAATTTTAAAAGTGTTATGCTTAAATCTTCCCTGTAGTGGCGTCCGTCAATGGCCAGAGATGGATCCTGTAGTGGCTGCGATCAATTTATCCTTGTTTTTAATCACTAAAGTGACGTTGTTTGGAATCGGTGAGCCTTGCGCACAGTGGGCCGATCCCACAGTATAATTTGCGTCTTCTTCTTGTTGTTCTTATTATTATTATTACTTTTCAATTTGATCGTTTTTTCCATTCAAAAAAATTTCAGTGTATCTCTTTTTTATTTAGCATTTTTGTATGCTAGCTGTGTTTGACTTATTTTATTAAAAAACATATGCGTTTGACTTATTTTATCAAAAATATTACTAAAATCACACTTATTTACACAACTATGACTAATAGTACTACAATCTAGTGTCATAGTAACTTAAGTTTAAAACTTGAATATAACATACCATGATTTCATTACTACACTAGTCACTAGTCACATTTTTGTAAATAATCTTTATTTTAGTCATAAATATGTAATTATTTCTTGAAATAATTGAGCAAATTCATTCACCTACTATTTAAACATAATTCATTAATATCATCTATATGTTGCTATTTTATTTTTGGGTAAAGGGTCAAATAGGCTCTCAAACTAATTTAAAAAGTGCAATTCACCCCTAATATAGGAGGCTCAGTCCGGCCGTCACCAATTGGGGCGGTTCCTAGTGGAATTTTTTGATAAATTTTTTTGAGCATCTTCTTCATTAAAGCTTTGTACCTTTGAGTTATACAAACCGTATACATTTTTTTGAAATTCAAATTATACCGTGAGACCAAATCACCAATATATGGTGAATAATGTACTTAAAAATGACGTAGTTTTATTTTAAACTTTTACACTCTTCTTCTTCGCTGCATCTATCGTTTCTTTCATTTCCCTTCAATTTTTTGATTTCTTCTTTGTTATTTTTATTTTCTTCAAAAAGTCTCCACCAAAATACTAAAAATTTAAAACTGAATCTGTTTTTATTTTTATTTTTTATTGCATATGATATATTTATGCGCCCCTGTAATATTTTTTATATTCAAGGCAACAGCCAACCAGCGATACTGCGATAGGCAACGGCCAAGCAGGACGGGCGACGAAGAAAGCCATGGCAGCAAAGGAAGCGACGGTCTAGCTGTTATGTGCACGGAGGAGATGGAGGCTGTTGTGCATCCAGAAGTGTTGCTGTGCTTACTGCTTAGTGCTCTGGGGTTTGTGCGCATCAGAAGAATAAGTGATCAATTTTTGTGTCAAAAAAATAGTACTGTGACCCTGTCATATTTTTGTCCCATAGAAGCTGAGAGGTAATATTTGTGTCATTCATTCAATAAAGTTTCAGAATGACACTAAATTACTACTTCCTACTATTTAGAGACATGTAATACTCTCTACTTTCAAATTTTACAAAGAATTTTTCCTTGCATAATCTTGGGAAAATAGTCAAATAGATTCTTCTACTCTTTTCAATCCATCATTTAAGACCTTCTACTAGGGGAACCATCATATATGCACACTTACTTTTTAAATAGAAACAATCAAGCCATTTTTGAAAATATAATTAGGAATATTGATAAATCTTATAAAAATTCATTTCAATTTGAAAAGTAATGTAATAATAATATACTAGTAAAGAAATAGCATAAATGTAAAAAAAATTAGAAACGTTAAAATAATAAAATAAAAATCAGAAAACTAAAAAAATAAAGTGAAAATGTAAAAATAAAAAATATAAATGTAAAAACCTTTTAGATAGATGTAGAATATAAAAACAATTTCAAAATTCCGAAAATATTGACTTTGACATTCTGATTTTTTCACATTTTTATCTACATTTCTTCAAATTTTAACAGTTTTTTTAGATTTTTTGAATATAAAAAACTTGCTATTACAGGTCAAAATGCCTAAATTGATCAATTTTTTAAAATAAGTGTACTTATATGACATTTTTTAGTACAAGAGTATAAGTAACGGTTTGGAAATAGTAGGTGTTATTTAACCCTCTTCTAAGTAATCTTATATGACTCGATATTATTTAGTTCTAAATTAGTAAATGAAAACTGCATAATTCGTTAAGAATTATTCAAAGTATATTTTTGGCACACCAATAAATTTTATTACATAATTTTTAAACAAGAAACATCAATTCTAATTAGCCGTCTCTAAATCCAAATGCTGAAAATTTATGCATTTTATTTAATATGAAAAACATACATAAATGTAAGTACCTCTATCATAATTGTATTCACTTCTAAAATAGTAAAATAGGATAACTTATCTTCTTATAAAGTTACATTTTTTAGAAATTTCGTATAAAGGTATAATAACAACAATTATAATTGTATCATGTACAACAATGCAAAATCTCACTATGAGAATTATATCAAATAATTTTTCATTTACTTTTATAATAAAAGTTATGCACTTTTGCGCAAGATTATATCATTTAGTTTTGATTATTGCATATTACCCATCGTCAGTACAACACACAAACTTTAAAGTTAGTCAAAGCATTAATTAACCACAAATAGAGCACTTAATTCTCAAAATAATTGCCTAAATAAATGCATCAGGAAGTGTGGGGAGAATGCGCTAGTAGACAATTATTCTGTATTCTGTAATGATATTAACAATAAATACATCACTTAATTCTCATAATAGTTGTTTAAATAAATACATCAGGAAATGTAGGCCAGTAGAGCATTATTGTGTAACGATATTATACCAAAATTATACTTTTATAGAAAGAAAAAAACTCACATAAGATCAGGAGAAGAGAAGCGGAAGCTTGTGTTCACCAGAAGCGAAAGAGATGATATTTCGTTTCAGTGGTGATATGTAGTGAGCTGCCTGGAAAGCAGCCGCCCGGAGTAGATTGACAGGCATAAAATCAAGAGCATACGCCTTTTGAAACCCATCTAGCACTGCCATCATTGCCATGTTTGCTGGTTTCCTCTCTGATTCATATTTCTGCAACACAGAAACCTGTCCCCCCCAATCAAAGCTTTTTAATCAGCACAATGGTACCAAAGAACTAAGATATAGAATACGTAAGAGCCCATTTGGTGGCATGATTTGGCTGATTCTAATTATAATCTCAACAAGTAGAAGATGCATAATAACCCGTTTAGTAGAGAGATTTGGCTGACTCTAGTTATTAACTTAATAAGTAGCTTTTGACTTGTTTGGCTGAAACGGATCTTACCAAGCATTTTTACTTTAAAAAGATATAGAGGATTCATTCATTTTAGCCAATAACCCTTGAAAAACAGGCTTTAAGAGTTTGAACAAACAAATAAATGGACATACCTCTCCAATGTCAGATCCTACAGTGACACCTTCAGCGATGACTTTCGAAAGAGCAATGGCATCAGCAAAGCCCATGTTCACTCCTTGACCAGCCAGTGGATGAACAGTGTGTGCTGCATCGCCTATAAGAACCACACGCCTTTTTGCATAACTTTTGGCATGCATCAAGGACAATGGGAATACCATTCTTGCAGAAGCCATTTTTATGATTTTTGGTGGAAGTCCAAAGCAATCATCAGCTGATGATGGTGTGGCATTTGCTGGTCTCAGCCAAGAAAATAAATTAGGACCGCCAAATGGTGGTGATTTAGGAGGTGGGCCATACCCTTCAACCAATGCACTGTTCACTATGTTCACAAAGTCACTCTCGCTCAATGATTGCCGCTCCAATGATTCTTTGGGGTCCATGGTCCAAACAATGTTGCTGAAATGATCACCTATGGGCAAAAGCGCGATTGGACCATTGGGTAAAAATCTTTGCCAAGCAATTTGGTTCGGCTCTGCATGCTCAACGGTACAGATTATGGCACACTGAGAATATTTCCATCCAGCCGTCTCAATTCCTGCCAACTCCCTAACATGTGATTTTGACCCATCAGCTCCAACCTGTCACATACACCACACCGTAGTGGATGTGTGAAAAAACTAAAACAACTGAAGATTTAATATATCTTAGAAGATGTAGTGTGTGCATGAGTGGGCGTGTCACGTTTGTATAAATATATCATATCTCACATCCCCACATCACTCCTCAAAAGCTATAAAGCACGGATACTTCCCTAGGGTAGCGTATCGGCGTATCCGATACGTTCCCGTATCCGATACTCTAGGATACCCGTACCGTACGTTCCCGGGCCGTATCTGCAATTTTTAAAAGTTTCCATTTTTTTTTTTGTAATTTTTTGAAAGTTTCCGATACTCGTATCCTGACGGATACCCGTATCAACTTTTTTTTTTAAAAAAATCCCAAAATTTGCTTAATAAAATTCTAAAAAAAATGAAAATCTAAAACTACATTTTACTTAGTAATCAAATAATGGGCCTATATGGCTATATCTGAATTAAGTCATTAACTCATACTCCAAATTGGGTACTTGCACTTTTAATTTCAAGATTGTAGTTGTTAGACTTATTTCTCATTTTAAATTAATGACTTATTAAGTACATTTATATTTCGAGATACACTAGTGTATATGAGAAATATTCTGAATTTATTACTAAGTATCTTGAAAAAAGAAAATGCTTCAATGCAATGAATGGGTAGACATCATAGGATATTAGATGTGGATATATATATATATATATATATATATATATATATATTCAAAAAAATCTATTTTTAATATTTATAAATAGACCCCTATAACTTTTAATATTTGTAAATACACCCCCATAACTTTTAATATTTATAAATATGGCCCCGTATCCGTATCCTACTTTTTTTGGTTTTGACGTATCCCCGTACCCGTTTCCGCGTACCGGTATCGGTGCTACATAGCTCAAAAGTCATATTTCATCAAAAGCTAGATTTTTCATGTAAAATACCTGCAACTTGCCAGAAAGTGTTGCAAATTAGTTAAATGTGATACACTTTGCAAAGCAACAAATAAATATAAATATGTAGTATTATTTTGTACATTTGTACCTTGCCAGATTTAAAAAGTTGTATATCGCTACAATGTCTTTTATTTGGAATCGACAGAGATTGGACGGAGTATTCATTTGTAGAACAAATTTCTTAATGCATGTATAAAAAAGCAGAAGTTGAGATTTACCACCAACTTTGCATTCAAGCTATCACCATTGCTCAAACCCAATCTAACAGAACTTCCACATGACTGTGATTTGCCACTGGAAGTTGTGGACGAACTACTAGAATTTAAGGTCATTGAGCTTAACTTTGCAGGGTATATTCTCTTCTCGAAGTCTGTATTCTGCGAAATTCTCCAGAGTCAGAAATAGTCAGGAATTATAAGATTGTAAACACGTAATCTACATTAGTTGCAAACATACCAATAACTTGTGCTGTTAAAACATACAAGAAAATTATCCATCATCATCATCATTACCCCAGTGCCGCAAAGGCTCCTACCTACGGTGGGGTAGGGGGGTCGGATCTACGCATTCTTACCCCTGTACTAAAGCACAGAGAGACTGTTTCCGGATGATATGAGAAAATAATTAAATTAATTAATTAAATTTCCCCATCCATTCAGATTTCTACTTAAGCAACTACGGCCTACATCAAATTAAGGCTCATGCCTCTCAGGATAGGAATCCCCCCCACCAGGCCCATTATTTAGCCTAGTTAACTAATTCAAGCCTTAAACATAAAAATATGGAAATTCCAAAAGTGAAGATTTAGTAATGAAGCTACAAGCGTAGAAGAAAATAATCCCTTGATACAGATCTTGACAAGCGAAATCAGAGAAGACTAAATCAACAACATACAAGCCTTAGTCCCAAAAGAGTTTAGGGTCGGCTAACATGAATCGACATATGCCATCAAAGTTAACAAAGATCAAAAGAGATCAATCATCCACATGTATATTGTCCCTCTACTTTGCTCTCTCCAAAGTCATACTCTCATCCACCCAAGATGTACCATATCATTCTTGACCACTCTAATCCACATATGTTTGGATGTCCTCTCCTGCTCCTCCCTGCCTCTTCTTCCCATCTCTCAATTGGTATAACGAAATGAGAGAACGCACGGGAGTAAAAAATGAAATAAAAGAGAAAATGAGCAATCAGTCAAGATTACGATTACCAATAGTCTAGGGATTACTATTACCTTCATTCCGTTATTACTACTACTCCCTTCATCCATATTTAGTTAGCCATCTTTCCTTATTTGCCTGTCCCAAAATACTTGGCCACTTTCTATTTTGGGTAGTAAATAAAATTGCAATGACACAATAACCCTTTTTGAAAACTCACAGAAATTCTCAAAAATTATTACCCACTCCCTGTCACTTCACTTTCTCTTGGACAATGTCTCTCTTCCTTTCTCTTACCATCGCTTTACTCTCTTGAAAACTCTACCGCCATGGATTTTGAGGACATGCTCCTCTGTCTTCCTTGAGACTCCACCTATGGAAGATGAGATGTCGATGACAAGAGCGCTACAAGGAGGCTAGTTGGAGCGTGCAAGAGTGGAAGGTCATTATCAATGAGGAGGAGAAATGGAAGTTAAAATGGGAAAAATCATTTTTCCGGAAAATGAAAGAAATTATGAATCTGTATGGTTGCTGTAGCCTTTGCCGCAGATGGCTGAGGGAAGTCTGTAAAAGCAAAAAACAGAGGTGCTGGTACTTGGTGTCGTACATGGGTAGGAGGGGAAAATATTGTCTTTTCACTGTATTCCTTAATCTGTGTGCCCAACCTCTATGTTGCCTTATTCCTTATGCCAGTCAACATTCGCTAAGTAAATGGGGACGGAGGATTTATATTTCATATTGTAATAGATTATAAATCAGGCTTCCTTTAGCAAAGGGGCATTGAGAGATTAGTAGAACTAGACTCTTTAGAGTTGGGCAGCCATAGGATGGTATTTGATGTTCTTTTGGTTCTTCTACACGTTTGTTTCTCAATTTTAGTTCAGTTTTATGAATATATTCTTTCTCCACAATTTGTCCCCTTGCCTCTGATAGAGACTTGGACTTTAGGGCTTAATATTTTAATAAAATGTAATAGTGGGCTGGGCCAAATAATTAGATAGATTGAGGTAAGCCTCATGTGGAAAAAGAATAAATAGAGGGAATAGAAGAGGGAGAGGGTAGGCAGAAATTAGGAAGGACTTGGGTCTCGGGAGTGCTGGAGACCACTCGAAGTGTCTCCGTTGTATCATCTCTTTTCAGTTTTCATCAATTTCATCTCAATCTACTTCAATTTACTGTCAAATATTTGTGTACTTATCATTGGTATCAGAGCAGTCGACCCAGGGAATCTTCCGTCTACATTCACGCGATTAACAAATGGAGCAGCGCAGGAAGCAGAAGGTGGAGAAACGCGAACATGCAGATCAGGTAACCGTATCTGGTTTGCGCGCAGATAGGGAGAAGCGATCTGGTTTGCGCAGAGAAGATTGGCGGTCAGAACTGGCCGCCTCTGGTTCGCGCGAAAAACTGGAGAAGGAGAAGCTCATGCCACATCGAAGATCCGATCAGGATGTTTCTCGCGGAAAATTGAAGAAGCACTCAAACAGGGAGAATCGCTCGAACCTGGAGAAGTGCGTCAATCTGGAGAAGTGCGTGAACCTGGAGAAGTGCTTGAACAAGGAGAAGAGCGCAGAGAACAAGGAAAAGGTAGAAAGTGATTGGGAGAAAAAGTGGAGGGTCTGGTTGGACGAGTTTCGTACGGAGCTGCGTCAACAACATAAACAACGTCGCCGGAGAACTAGAGGCCGAGCTAGGAGCCCTCCTAGATGCCGTAGGCCAATTTACACCAGTTTGCTGAATTCATCTCTAGCTTCAACTAGTTCGCAGTCTCGAACCGCATCATCTCCCAGTTCGCGGAGAACTGTTTCTCCTGGCCGATTTTCATCGCCATTGCAATCAGTTTCACATCGAGCCAATTCTCACAGTCCACAGGAGTTGTCGCCAACAATTTACCTCAGTTCGCAATCGTCTCCGCGAGCAGATGTACCTGTTTCATCTGCCACGTCGGATTCAGCTTCTCATAGGGCCCAGATTTCGACGCTATCATATCCTTCAAGTTCGCAGGGTTCACAAGCAGCTTTACACAGGGCGCAAGCCTCATCATTGCTACAGGAGTCATCCACTTCCAGAGTCTCGGACCGCGTTGAATCAGAAAATGGATCACTGGTAACTCAGCCTTCTACACTGACCACTGAGTTAATACCGGTTGCACCATCAGTTCTGGAACCTGATAAGGACGATTATCTTATTCAACCTTTGGGTAAGGAATTGTCTAATAGTGCTGCTGATGCTCTTGCTGAAGTTCTGCAGGACCCTACACGAGCTATTGGTTCTCTGAAAGGGAGAGGAGAGTACACAGATGAAGACAAGATGGGATGGAAGGAGAAACAAACTGGGGTAGAGAGACTCAACAAGATGACTAACACTGGTGAGGAGTTTTATGCTACTCCAAGTGCTTATTTTACTTTATATGATCTCGTTGTCCAATCATCATTCCTGGGAGGTGTCCTGGAAAAAGTTGGGATTGTGCCACCACTTGCTGGTTCTCCGAGGACAAAATGGGAAATGTTTGGGTTGTGTAGGCCTAATGTTTTATGGACACGGTCAGCAGGAGAGAAAGCCGCAGCTCATTCTGAACTATCAAATGCGTTTACTGGACTTCTAAAGCTGTGGAGTTCTAACCATCCCCCTATTGAGGATGGAGTGGGAGAGGTGCAGTCCATGAGTTGCCAGTTAACACCTGTACACCTCTTAATGAAAGAAGAGCATTCACAGAAACAGGAAAAGAGTGCTGCCAAGGCCAGGCAAGACCTCTGTGATATGATGTGCTGTAAGGTCTCTCAGGTAAACGTGAGTGAGCACCTTGAAACATGGAAGCAATTGTTAAAAGCTAGGAAGGAAGGTAGTTTATTTCAGAAGTTGAAATGGCCAAGAGATGATGAATTGAAAGCTCTCATGCTTCAAGCATATTTGGAAAGGGTGGCAGTTGGAGATTATGAGGTTACCGTGTCAAGGATTTTGGCAAATTATTCCATCCCTCTCGATTTCATTCCTGAAGGAGCTGACATGCCATCAGCTACAGACGCCCTGCAATCATCATTTGGTGATGAGTTGAAATTATTTCATTCCAGGAATCTGGCAGAGTTATTGGACATCGCCCGGGTTCTACAAGAAACAAATTCTGCTATTAAGGGAGGAGTAAGGAGCAAGCAACAGACTTGGGCAGAGGGGCTGAAATGGAAAATGGATACTGAGCCGCAGGCCCACATATGGTTGATGGATGAGAAGACTGCTGAATTCTCGGGTTGGTGGAGAGTAAGGAAAGTTGTTTTGTTTGCTTTGGCTTCAATGTTAGATCAGCTACTTGAAACAGCGGGTTTTGGAGAGTATGGTGCTACTGCAGCAAATATCTGGGAGAAAGTTCTTGTAGAAGACATTGCAACAGGGGTTGATGATTATCCTGTTCTTTATACCTATAGGTTATCAACCATTGCTAAGCTTTCTCTTGTGATGAGACGGGGAATTAATGAGCAGTTGGGGTATGGGTCTGTTACGGCAATTGGCATGGATGTGTCTCCTGTAAAAGCAGATGGTGGTCGAGCATTTCCACAGTTTTTAACTAATGCAAAATCTGGAGTCATTTGGTCACATATCAAGGACTTAATTTCATCACTCACCAAGCTATGCGAATCTACAACCAATGAGACTATGCATCTGGTGTTTAAGACACTACAGGCTGGGCAGAATACCAGTTGGGTGGAATCAAGATGGATCTGGACTCTACTATTCACGCTGAGGTAATTGAGGTCTCAAAGGTAGAGCACATCATGGATGATTCGACAATGTCTTTACCTTTGCTCTTTCCTACGCGGGAGGAATTGATGATAAAGGTTCAAGTAATGAAGCTCATGGTCCAGCAGTCCGTGCAGTATTGGGAAGGAAGAGGTGCTAGAATGAAGCTGATTTCCAGGGCGTCTTCCTACCTCCCACCTTGAGGACAAGGTGGTTGTCAAAGGGGGGAGTGATGATAGAGACTTGGACTTTAGGGCTTAATATTTTAATAAAATGTAATAGTGGGCTGGGCCAAATAATTAGATAGATTGAGGTAAGCCTCATGTGGAAAAAGAATAAATAGAGGGAATAGAAGAGGGAGAGGGTAGGCAGAAATTAGGAAGGACTTGGGTCTCGGGAGTGCTGGAGACCACTCGAAGTGTCTCCGTTGTATCATCTCTTTTCAGTTTTCATCAATTTCATCTCAATCTACTTCAATTTACTGTCAAATATTTGTGTACTTATCAGCCTCTTTACGATATACTTCCATCATTCGCAATGGAGTCAAAGATTCATTATTTTTTGGCTTGAGAATATGATGGAATAAAGAAAAATGGCTCACTAAACTGTCTGCGCTTCTTTGTTATGAAGCAGCAGTCAGTCTATGCAATTCTAGACGCGATTTTCACTATGGGTCATCCAGAAACAGTCTCTTTGTGCGTTAGTACAGGGGTAAGACTGCGTACATCCGACCTCCCCTTACCCCACCATAGGTGGGAGCCTTTGCGGCACTGGGTAAATGAAAATGATGATGATGAATGCCTCTTTACGATATCATCCCTCTAAAAAAGAGATGGGATATCAGCGAGAAATCCAGAGAAAGGGAAAAACAAACAAACTAACTCTTGATGGTCGGAAAATATGTTTACATGTGACAAATCAACCAATGAAAATCATGAGCATGATAACTATATGATGTGCTAGGAGATTAGGACTAGCACACATTTCTGAAAAAAACATCCATAAGTGTAAGGGTGGGCAAAAATACTAAACTGGCATCATACCGAAGCGGACCGGTATGGTACCGGACTGAAAAACGGGGTTTGAAACGGATTTCAAATTTTTTGTCCCAAACCAGACCGTACCGGTTCTAAACAATTCCATGACCGGTTCTCATTTTATGAGAACCGGTACCTGACTGAACCGAACCGAAGTATGATTTAATTATTTAAATGTACATTTATGCAATTACTTTGATTAGTGCCCTCACACTTTCACAGCCTTGCTAATTTACTGGAAGCTTTGAACCGGACCGAAGTATAGTTTATTTATTTAAATTTGTACTACTATAGTTTATCTAAAATATACTCCGTATTAATTATGTAATATGAAAATTGAAAAATAGTGTGGATTTTTTAAGGATGACTATACTTTAATTTTCTCTTAAACACTTGAAAAAGTGGCATTGTTTGGTATTGGTATGGCATGGTACTATCCCATTTGAAAATGGAACCATACTGAACAGGTTTAGGTCTAAGTACCGAACCATTTGAATTGTCAAGGTACGGGTACGGGTTAGTCTAAATATTGGACCGGACCGGACCGTGCCCACCCCTACATAAGTGTTTATTTTCACCAATTAAGTCTCAAGGGATATTCACTAAAAGTTAAAAAAAAATATGAACACATAGAACCTTTTGAATACCTGTATGCATGATAACAGGGATCTGTGAAGAACTTTATTCTCGACAACGCACCTAAGGTAAACACCCAAATAACTATAAGCTTGAAATTTATAATCATAATACAATAAAAAAACAGGATTCTCCATTTAACTAAAAAGACACTTACCCTAAAACTTCTTTACCAACATCTCTTGCATTGTACCTTGTATATCCTAGACCTGTGTAATCCCAGACCTATAGGTTCCAAAATGTAATGCATTATGAATCACATAAGGTGGGAAAGAAACGCTCAAGTCTAGATATATAGAATTAGTTTTTCGATTGTGTGCCTATAGGCATAAGATAAAGAACAACTAATGTGTTTCATTTTCTAGTTCTGAGAAAGAATTTGACAATTTCAATAAATTATAATTGTGATTTAAAAAACCAATATGGTGATTACTAAAACTTAGATATATATCACCATTATCATGGATAAGTTATGAAAATTTTATTAATTGATTCTTTTCTTCTGTCCCATGGGCACACTTCAGGAAATTCCATTATAAAATTACTACAATGATAACTACAAGAGAAAAAGACCCCCACAATAAAGAAACACGATAAGCATGACAGAAATGATAACATAGTGGAATAACATTAAAAGTTGGGTAAGACGTTCTATGACAAAATTTTACAAGGGCTATTAAAGAAACAAAAAGGCTCTTACCTGCATCTTATCAAAAAAGGCATGCCTGTGTTGTTGGACATGTTGCCATGCACCCACACCTAAAATGAACGACTGTTTACTTCTATGATGACAATCAAAACAGTTTTCTTGAGAGAAGATACAAGCTTATGCAAGTAATTGTTTACTAGCCAAAACTAACTAGTACTACCCCAGCATTGCCCCCAAGCACCCACATGTAATGGCAGAAATAACATTTTGAACGGGTGAGGGCACATTTACAAATCTAAGGAAATTTTATTTTAGTGGGAGAAACTAAGAGCCCGTTTGGTAAAGTTATTTGGCTGATATTGTTTTCTGAAAGGAAAGGTATTTGTTAAAAGAGTTTTCAGCCAAATGTGTTGGCCAAATGCTCTATTCTGCTGATACACAAAATAAGCTGATTAGAGCTACCACATGGTGCATAATATAGATACCAGAATATATAGCAACATAAAAAAATCAAAATAGAGGGAAGTCCAGCATCCCACCTAAAATTAAAATTCGCACCATGGCTCATGTACTAAGCATGAAACAACACTCGGCCATTGAAGTTTGAAATTCCAAATTAAGCACAAATTTCATAATAGTCACACATCCAAATAGCACAAGGAAATATGCACTTTATATAAAAGAATTTGTTAAATGAAAAAAAAAATGTCAAAGTATAGTAATACCTTTGTAAAAGGATATCGTTGCAGGAGTTACTGTGCTGACTCTTGGATCAGGAGGGACTTCTTTTTCCAAGAAGTCGACATTCAAAAGTGCAGGATTGCTGTCAATTATAGCCACCCTTAACTTACTTGTCAATGGTGTACTAGCTGCAAGCATATCCTGAATTCTTAGACAGTCTCACAGATATAATGGTAATAAAGTACCTTTTCTGGCAACATAGGAACATCAATGCCAATCAGTACCACTACTTCTTTGGTGAAAAGTTTTCAGATGATCTTGAGGACTCTTGAACTTCAGAAATATGTATGTTAGGGTTTTATGTTCAGGAATTTATATTATTTTATAGAACATATATATAATAATCACAAGATAACTCAACTAACTAGATTGTCCAGGTTGAATAACATTAGGTTGGCAGATGGAATCATGTTGATGGACTTAATATGATCAAAAAATTACTTATGGGTGGTTATACGGTTTGTGATTGGGCATTAGAAATTATGGAGGAATGATGATGAATTAATAAAAGCCCAATATGAAAGAGAACACTATATAGTATATACCAATGAAGAGAGGGAGAGAGAGAGAGAGAATCACCTAGTGAGCAAGCTAATGCCATGCCAACCATGCCACCTCCAACAATGGCAATATCATATTGTGAGGCATGGCTAGTCATCTCATGCTCCTTTAATGGCCCCTACATCATAGAACATGAATACCCATGTGAAAAGTGAGAAGTGAAACTATTCTGAAATTAGAAATTATATTTAAAACCAATTGACATTTTGATGGCAGATGATATCTATTGGCAGATAATAACTTAATCCTATTTCAGTTTGGTCCATCTATTCCTCTATACAATAGAATTTACTGAGTGCAATAAGATATCAAATTCCTAATTTAAACCGTAAATGCTGTTCACTGGGGTATACCGAAATAATAATAACAGATACCAACTTCAAAAGAAGAAAATGAAATAGGAACCCCACTCAAAATGGATCAACGACACAGTCCTACCCCCCCCCCCCCCCCCCCCACAGCTCCGCACAGAAAAGGTGAAGGGAAGTCTTATGTTTTCAACACATTCTTTTCACTCATGGATGACAATATGACATATTGAATGGAAATTAACAATGAAAAGGGTTAGTCCAATCTTATTACTGTTTTGGTGAAATAAAAAGGTAACCTTGCTATTCTGACAAATAAAACGTATTTTAGTCTTGCTCTGGGTTATTTACTCGGCGAGTACTCGGTGAGTACTCGGTGAGTACTCCCTACTCGGCCTATGACCTTGCAGAGTAGCACATTACTCGGCCCGAGTTATTATTCCGAGTTACTCGCCGAGTACTCGGCGAGTTAGCCAACTCGGTCATTGGGTCAAAAAGGCGATTTACTCGGGAGTACTCGGTATTTAGAAAAAAAATACCTCCGCTTGGGAAAAAAATTAAATTGAGATTATCCCCTGTGTTGTTTCTTATTCTCCCTCATGCTGCCTATTATATTCTTCTCTGTATACTGTAATAAACTCTAAGAATATTGGATTGTTCTTCGTTTGTTTGTGCTTCTTAAACTGATGTTTTCATTGTACATTTTCAAGTCTTTGGCCAACTAAAGTGAATGTATTGAATGTACCCCTGAGACCTGAGTTGTTGAATGCTGAAATAAAATCTCTTAATTGAAAGGTGAAAAATATAGCTCAGCAAAAAAGCATCATGTTTGGTTTTGGGTGAGCTGCAATTTGTATTTAAGGAACTACCTTTGAGGACTCGTTGTTCGGTAGGTGCCACTTTGAAGTTACTTTGAAGTTCTTCAATTGGAATAAGAATAGGTGCCAAAAAACTGCAAAAATAATTTGCCTTTTCTTCCACTACTCGTGCTTCTTGAAGTTGTATTCTGGTATTGTATACGTATTATATGCATTTTAAGACAATTTCTATCCTTTTATTCACTTCTATGCATTTTAAGATAATTTAAAGACAATTTTATTACTATATTTTAAGACTACTATATTTAAATATATTTTTTATATTTAATTAATACTAGGCCGAGTAATCTCGAGTAATCGATCCTACTCGCTACTCGGCCCTTGACCGAGTAGCTACCGAGTAGCGAGTAAACTACCTAGGTCTTGCTAAACCCACTCACTCTCGGAGAAGGTAATCAACCCACATATTAAACGTATTTTAGTCTTGCTAAACCCACTCACTCTCGGAGAAGGTAATCAACCCACATATTAAATGGATGGCCACATATGATCAATCCTGAACTCCACTATTGGCTTGGTTTCCCCAGCTAACAACCCGGTTGGCTATGAAAGAGATTCACTACTTGTTGAGCTACTTACTTTACTGAGGACGATAGATTCCATTTCACTACCTAAGACTCTAATTTACACCGGTAGCTTTGGACCTATAACCTGGTATAATACTGACAAAGACCATTCAGTTATCCGCCGTTTCTTCGGATCCTTGGAAAACCTAGTATCCAATGGCCAATTCTTTTTTTAGCTATTGCTAATCCCTTCTCCTTTATGCCGATCTTATCACTAGCAGTTGAAATTAATAAATTACAAATTGAAGACATTGCACCCGTCAGATTAGGAAGAAAGCTCTTTCTTTACCTCAATGTTGGCATATTTCAAGTTAGCCCTGTTTTCAGTTTTTCTTTTTCCTCTGGATTACTAATTTTGTTTACTAACCCAAGTATTCCAGTTTTAACAAGTTCTCCAACTTACATAACCACTTCACATCTATTTTTGAGCAAATGAAGAAATGATATTCTAGTTTAGGAAAAAGACTAATAGAACAAGTTGTATACCGGCCTAATGAAAGTTCTAGTTAAAGATGAGTTTTAATGACAAAGAAGCATGTAGGTTTGCACCTGGTTTTCTATTTGCCCACTGTATGTTACAAATGATTACTCATGGATGAATAAAAAAACTCGAGATAGTCAATAGCTAACCAGTCGTCACTCGTCATCATTACCCCAGTGCCGCAAAGGCTCCCACCTACGGTGTGGTAAGGGTATCAATAGCTAACTAGTAACTAGAAAAATGTCAAAATAAATATCTATTGTCGGTAAGATCACAGCAAACATTAATTCAACGGAAAAAGTATGATGTTGCCACATTCCCAAATAGTCCGTAATAAATTGACGTATGAATCACATAGATAAAGAATAACCTTGATAATTTGGTCACAATCAGAATCAGGCAATTTGGCTCCTGCATTGCTACACAACCATCTTTGGGGAAACTTGAAGCTCGTAATGTTAACAATTCTTCTGGCAACAAACCTAGCTTTACAGAAAGTAGCTTATGATTAACCAATAAAACATTGCTAGAATATATACAGTCACCTAGAGAGCTGTATAACATAAATTAAGTAGTAGTCCTATGAAACTAAAATGGAGTAAAGATCATATTCACCGGACTGAAAATATTCCAAAGTAAGCAGAACACTATAACTACATTCTTTTATTTCCCCACTTTTTTAAAACTGAAACCACAACATTTTTTTAAAATTTCCCAGAATTAATCACCTCATGGACACGCCAAACCAGACGTAATAAGGTGAGGTTGAGTTTTTCCAGGCAAGAGAGAGATACAAAGCAGACCCGACTAAAGGCGTCGAGTTGTAATATGAAAGAAATAGGCAGAGGCTGATGACGATGGGCGGATGGATGAGATTTTGGGGGCTTCTTTCTGCAGTTCTGAGCTACGACGACCAGAAGGAATGTGCAATTAACGGGTCCTGTTCCTCGTTTTTTTCATCCACGGCGATCTAAAAAATCTAAATGGGACTTTGCAACCCATTTTTAAAAAGCTTTATTTTTGCACAACCCTATATGAAAAGGCAAATCATTCCGAAATATGTTGAAGGTCAACATAATTGTTAACGGAGAGGTATTTTTGTCTTTTCATATGATGTTGGGTGCAAAAACAAAGATTTTTTTAAAACGGGGTGCAAAGTCCTATTTAGAGAATAATATGGAGTACAAACTCAAATTACCCCTAAATTTTATTTATAAAAATATGACTACAAACTACGTAGTACTATGTATAATAGTATGATGACATGAAGTGTTGGACGATGAAATAATGTTACATTCAAAAGATTATTGTGACAGAGTGTGTTGCGTTGTGTGGATATACCAGAAAAAATCGCTTGAAAAGTGAGAATCAGACAAAAGGCAGAAATAACACAAAATAAAATGCTAGAGTTTCTATTGCAGTGTTTGGTCACATGAGTGAAAACATTCAAGCCCCGACCTCCGCTAATATGTCACTGCCATTGTTTGATCATGTGCTTAAAAGACCGAGTGATACACCACGTAAAATATGTTCTTGAGTTTAATTAGAGTATAAGTAAGGTCCAGCTAGTCCCAGAACTACGGGTCAAAATCTCAAGCGTATATAATTGAGGGCCGAAACCAGCCAACGAGGACCAGGCCACCAGCCCACCCCTAATCAGCTATCTAATCAACTCTACCCTTATAGACATTAGTATTTATTCCTATAACGTCAGTGAAGTAGTTATCATGGAGCTTTGCACATTGAATACTTTATTTCGTTTTGCTTCTATAACGCCTACTATTTGTTTTTGTAAAACATCATGTACTCAAGTTATGTTAGCGCAGATTTTAGCAAAAAGTAATGTAAACAAAGATTTTAGCAAAAAGTTATGTTAGCAAAGATTGTACCGTTATCAAACATGCTGTTCTATACCACTTGATCTCAAAGAAATGCACACATAATTAACAGTTAAAAAATATCACCTTCAAACATTTGGACCAAATTTTACATTTATCTCGTATACCCTCCTCCTCCCAATAATTTAACATAGTTCTGTTGCTAAGAAAAGATTAAAAGAACCAAAACATCCACTCTCCCAGTAGTATTATTACATCTAATAACAATGAACCCCTCTCTCCCCGCATGGCTGCTACTGTTTCTTGTTCTTCCCTTTCTTCAGCTTATCCTGCAGTTTCTTCTTCTTAGCTTCTGCTGTTATCCATGTGTAATTGGAAGGGATTGCAAAGGGGTCTTGACTGTTTTCCATCTTGCAGTTTGAGGTTGCAGCGGATGATGATGATTGCGCATGGTAAGGGGATTTTATCCACTGAAACCAAGATGATGTGGATGGAGGCTGGCTGATTAAGGGACTTTCCCTCCCCGGCCCCGTAGCAGCAGTAGGGCTGGATGGGGGTGTTGAAAACTCATCCAACGGCTGCAACTCTTGAAACTTTGTGAAAGTAACCAGCACTCTTATGGTAGGAACCACAGGAATTGCAACCTAAGGCAATACATATATCATCATCGTATACAGGACGCTAAAAAATGCATTACCATGGTGGTGGGAGGAATACCCGTTCACCCATCAGTGACGTGGCGCTGTTAGAATCATGACAAGGGTGCATTTATAGTGTTAAAAACAAACACTTTTTAGAGTATTGATGATGCCACATCACTAGTGGGTGTTAGTTCCTATGACATTATATTTTTAGCAATCTATTATAGATTGCTCATATTTCCCACTTTGGGAAAATAACTTTTCTTTACATGGTTTTTCTACTTTAGGTCATTCACATCATCACCCTATACAGGATGTCTCAGGAAAATGAAACATCTGGTCTTGCAATTCATCGATTCCTAGAAAGGCTGGATATATACTTGTTAAACAAAAGAATAAGATGAAATCAACATCGTACTAAGTACTACTTACTACATTATTCTTCTACTAGCTTTCAAGCCCGTGCGATGCACGGGTAGTACATAATTTAGCTAACTGTATATTTGATATTTTCGAAATCATATATAATTAATAAAAGTAATTCAAATATATGTGAAAAATATTTAAATTGGACTTCTACATAAGCATCTCAACAAAACATAATGGTTATGAACCCGGTTTTAAAGAATTCATACAAAAGTTTCTTCATTAATTTCACATCCTCTATATTACTTCATTAAGCATCTAAAAAACTATTTTCAAATATTTCTCATTCAACATGTGGTATGAAATAAGTATTTGTAAATTTATTAGTGAGCTCTTACATTGTACTCATTATTTTGTCACATTGAAATGTAAAAAAGGGATCATTTTTACAATTTACTCATTTATTTCGTCACATTGAAAATGTCATTAATAAGAATATTTTTAATTAGATTGATATGTTCATTTCTAACTTAGTCTGGAAGATGTCTATTTTATGTATAATAATAATAGTAATAATAATAATAATAATAATAATAATAATAATAATAAGAATACTAATAATAATAATAATAAGAATAAGAATACTAATACTAATAATAATAATAATAATAATAATAATAATAATAATAGATATTTATTTGATCTGATCTTGTCTAAGACTGGAACCAGTCCAATTAAAAACACCCTAAATGTATGAAGATTTTCTAATTTAGATTAGGAATCTATGTCAAAAGTGAAGGAAAATCTAAATTGTAGTTGTAAAAATAAAGAAACAACTAAACATGTTTACTTTTTTTGCTGGGCTAAACGTATTCATATATGTATGATATGAATTTCCATTTCCATCCTCATAAAGGTAAGATACTTGATCAGAAGTTTTAAATGTTTTCATATATGAATGTCTAATAGTATATATCAATTTCATTTTTAAGATAAACAATCGTGTGGTTATAATTTTCAACATTATCTCAATCATTAAGAAAGAATGGTATGATGATGCAGAAAAATACGAAGTATTAACACAATTGCAAATATAAGTCTGATAACTTTAGTCATTATCACATTGAGTTTAGAAAACATTCAAAAAATTGAGTTTAGAAAAATAAAATATTACTCCGTACTTTTTAGGAAATGGAACACTATTATTACTTTATTTATAAAATAACTTTGAAGAACAAAATTGATAGGAACTTGGATGATTTATTTGTTAGGTGCGCAAAGCACGGATAATTCACTTCTCAATAGAATGTAATAAAAATAAAAGTATAAAAATAGTTAAATTAATTAAAGTCTATGTGCACGGATGACTATTTATTGTTGTGGTTGCAATAATTGCTTATTTTAATAACAATCCATATTACTACGGAGTAAGTAGTAGATTCTGAAAAAGTTACCAAATAAGGTGGATTTTATCATACACGACAGTCTTTTGTTTCCATATCAATATGTAATAAAAAATAGAATGTAATAAAAAAGGTATAAATAGTAATTAAATAATTGTTATATATGATGACATGGCAGGATTATGTGGCACGTCAGATGCTCTTAAAATTCCTCTTTTATATATATTTTAATAAATATCCATATTAATACGGAGTAAGTAGTAGATTCTGAAAAAGTTACCAAATAAAGTGGATTCTATCATACGATCTTTTGTTTCCATATCAATATACAATAAAAATAGAATGTAATAAAAACAATAAAATGTAATGTATAAATAATTTTAATATATGATGACATGGCAAGATTATGTGGCGCGCCGTATGCTCTTAAAAAGTTCCTCTTTTATATATATATATTGATTATGTGCCAAAGTGCCAAACATGAAAGGCATATTACGAAATATGAATACAAGCATGAGTTCTTACCATCGGAAAGTAAATGATGTGTTTAAGCTGAACCTTACAAGTTACTAGTTTATTACCTACATCCCAAAATGAAGCCATTGGAACAATACGTAATAGTCCTCGACTTTCATGGGAGTACCTAGTTTGGGTCTAATTTTATAATTTAATCAGATTCGATCCTCGGCTTCTATTTATAGGCAAAGTTCAGTCCTCTCTTTATTCTTTCTGTCTTTGCTCTGTCAAACACAATGCTCTCTTTACAGAAGAAACTCCTCCTATTGTGCAGACAGAGGCCATATTCACTACAGAAGAGTCTTAGTCAAAGAGGGACAGGAAGATGAGCCATCCTTGCCTAAGTCTAGCCCTTTCCCTTGCTAGACTCTATCTCAAAACACACGTATCAACTTATAGGAGAGTGATTCTGTTGACTGATATGACTTCTAGTGACATAATGGACGACTGAGATTGTGTTTGATGGAGAAAAGAATGGAAAAACTAACAGGAGACAAAAACTTGCAAAGAAATAAAGGTTGAGGGTCAAATCTGAGTAAATAAAAAGTCTAGGATTAAATTGGGTACAAGTGTACAACCACTCTAGCCAATGACATTTTTAGTAATAACTCTTGCACAAAGGTACAGCTTTTTATTTGTTATACAGCTATTAGCCAATGGTAGCTATTAGGTAAATTTTACATAAATTTAACATAATTAGCTTGTTCGGATTTGGGGCTATTAGTATTATATTCTTCTAAATACATAAAATATAAAGAAAATTAGAAACTTTTGTTTAAAAATAAGATTCATTTTCAGAAAAAAAAAATCTCAAATAGAACTCTCTTTGGACAAAGGGCAGTGCAAGATAATGAAATTACAAAGGCATAACTAGGAAGAAAATCCTGACCTAGAACCGTCTCCTTCCCACCCAGAGAGATGTAGAAGGAAGCCATTGAATATAAAGATACAAACAGTATGTGGGGATTACTCGGGAAATGAAGACTAGGAAGAAAATCCCGACCTAAGCCCGTCAATTTCCTACCCAAGCATAGCCTAGGGCGCTAGGCCAATTATGTGGCCTGACTAGCGCCTTGAACTTTTTGAACACAATTACGACCATCTATGAAACACTACATAAGCTTAGAGTACCACTTTAAAGATTCTCCCACTCAGAAACAGTTAAACCTCTTCTCTTAAATGCACCACACAAAACTAAAACATTAAACCACATGCAGGATCTTCATGTTAGATAGAACCCACTGCTTCCCTACTGATCC